TCACTCAGCTTGCTCGATCACTCAGCTTGCTCGATCACTGGTCTGGTCGATTAGCGGGTAGTTCGACCAGTCTGGTCGAGCATCAGGATGCTCGACCACCTGTGCAGTCAAGCCTCGGGTTGTTCGATCACTTGTGGGGTCGAGCCTTAGGCCGCTCGATCACGTAGACTCCCGTCTTTCGGCTCGGTTCACTTCCGGTTCGCCCTTCTCGACCAGCTCACCAAATCGGCTCGTCTTTATACAGATAATATCCTATATCACTAAGTACTATGCTCATTATACTTACTAAAATACTCGGATACTCACATCTATCAGATAACTTATCCGAATATAAAAGAATACTCTAGAGATCATACTAAGTCCGGATTTAAATTGGTATACTTAAACTGAACCGAAACTTAATCATTTTCATACTCTTCAAACTTTCACATTAATTAATATAATTAGAAAAACTAAAATCATATGCTATAACTCAATTCACCTCATCTTAATCTTAACTTTAACATATGTATTCTCAACATATATATAAAGTTACCTTAAAAAATTTCACTTTAAAATAATATTCATATCTTGAGATATATTATTTCAAAGTTGAACTATATCAAAACATTCAATTTACTTGCATACTTGTCTTTAAAAATCTATATCTCATGCTACAATTATCTAAAAATTCTAAAACTGTATATCTTAACTCTCAACTAAATGAAGAAATATTCTGTAAATTTTCTCATAAAAATAATAACCATAAAGTGAGATATGAATTTTCAAATAATGTTTGTCTTTTGAAATTCGAGATTTACTCACTTATGTTCATTATTTTCTATAGCATCTTAAACAAGTCCAATAAATATAAAATTTAAACTGGAAGTTTTTAACTAATATATGAATTGACCATAAAATTTCCAACTCAAAATAATATCAATAGATAGGGTAATTCAATACCACAAATCATCATTACTACACAGATTTTTCACTGGACAACACCTTAATAAAAGATTTTTATAAAATTCATTTTAACTCCGACTAATGTAAAAATTTTCAGTATTATTTTCAACATAATGATTATCTTATATAAAAATGTTCATAATTTTTGGAACTCAATAGCGTGGTCAAAAACAAACAAACATAGGCTGCAACATCATGAACTTTAAATAATCTTGTTTTATATACTTATATATATAAAAATTATAATTTCTTAACATAACAACATATTAATAACACATATAAACACTTATAATTCTTAACTATACTTGATGATATTAAAGTTGTATAACATACCTCTTCCAATCTTGAGAAAACAAAGCAATGAAACTTGATTCACATTCTCTCAAAATTGCTCGATTCCTCTCGTAACTACTCGTTTCTTACTATTTCTTGCTCTTCGTATATTTATAAAATTTTTAGTGCTTCTAAAATCTGATTCTAAGGCCCTCTATTTATAGGCATAAGAGCTCTTCATTGTTGATAAAACTCCTCACCAAATTTGCTTAGAAATTAATATAAAAACTTAACTTGAATTAATATAATAATATGATTTTGATGACTCATAAATACTCTCTAAAATAGGACAAATATGCTGATTAATGATGATAATAATGCTCCCATAGCTGATATAAAAATTGGCCCCATTTTTATTTAAAAACACTTAGAAAGTTTTTTAGTAAAAATGATGACAAAACATCATTTAATGCTTTATTTATTTATTCATTTCTTAATATTCAGCTCTTAATTATAAAATAAAAATAATACTTGATATTTATCTTGTAATGTGGTAAAAAAAACAAGAAAAATAAAATTTACGGAATCAAATTTGGACTTAAAACGAACAATTACCGTAAAACCAAAAATTCTAAAAATTCGGATTTCTCTCTTTTGCTTTTGAATTTTTTTTATTCATAACTACTTTGAGATTGTGATATTTTCTCTTGTAAAAACCATACTAACTTAATCTTGAAAATAATTTACTTATCATCTATAAACTATTAATAACTTTTACCGATTTACTGAATAACTTCTACTGATTTACTGACTTACTACAAATATGGGGTATTACAGAGAGAACAGCAGCAGGTCGGTTGTTTCAAGGAGTAGGCTGCAACAAACCGAGCCATTTCTCTCAGAACCGTGAGTAGAAGTCCGAGCCGAGAAGCGTCGAAATTGAGCCCCTTTCTTCCTCTGTTTTCACGGTAAATTGGCTGAACCTTATGTCATTCTTTTGCCCGAGTTTCATGTGTTTTTAATATGCTTAGTTGTAGTTTTTATTTGGAGTTATAGAAGCATGATAGATTTTTCTAAAATTTGAAGCTTGAAATTGTAGTCTGAGTGTTATTATGTGACCTGAATTGCCTCGTGTGGCTGGGCCGTTTGAATGCCATTTATATGCTGAGGAAATGTGTTGAGTATCCAAGGATGTATTCTCAGTCTTATTGCCTTATGTATATGTTAGGGATTTGTTAAATTGTGTAGAGAAAGAGAGCTGATTATGCTTGGCTTTAACTTGATTCTTGAGAGGCTATGTCCATGAGCTTTTGAACCTATTTGAATGATGTTTATATTGCTGGAAATGTGCTTTTATCAGAGGCTTATTTTGAGTTTTTAAGGCTAAGATATGGTACTATTGTTATGCTGTTTTGAAGTGTATGTTATGCTGAGATTAAAGTATGATTTCAGTTCAGAGGAGTCTCTTTTGAAGGCTTAAGTTTTATGTGATATTGAGAAGCACATCGACAGGTTGTAGTTTTGCCTTTTTGCGATCTTTTTGTCGAGCCTTTATGAGGAGTTTATATGCGGCTTTGGTGCTATAAATATGTTATTTTGTTCAGAGTTAAGCTGAGATAATTTGTTCTTAGTTTTGTGTTGTTTTACCTTATTTGTTGTTGAACGAACTTTGTTGCTGTGTGTATGAGGCTGTGAGCATGTAAATTGGAGATTAAACATATGTTTTATGTTTCAGCCCATGAGATCTTATTACTGTAAGTTGAGTTTTGAGGTGTTAATGTAAAGCCAAGTTTAGTTATAAGAGAATGTTTTGTTTTCGTGTTGTGTATTTTGCCTTGTTTTAGTGATGCTTGTTGTCATGTTTTCGAGCCTTTGTTTGTTAGGTTATTTTTGTGCTTTGTTGCCTTTATTTATCTTATTTGCCTTAATTGCCTTGTTTGACTTATCTGTTGTTTGTTGCCGCCCTTTTTGTAATGAGAAGAAAAATAATTAAATTGTAGATTAAGAGGAAGCGAGGCCTTCAATCAGACGCGCTTGCATTCGTTTTGCCAGTCTGTAAGTGTATAAAGGTGGGGGTTCTATACTATGATTTATTCTTTATAAACATGTTGTCGTATAGTTTTTATATGCATGTGTTTTGGGCCGATGGTCCGAATGTGTGATGTGAACTTTTACCATGGCGGCTTGAGATAAGACTCACTAGGCCGGGTAATTATCAGTTAAGTTTCTTACTAGCCAGATAATGATATGTTATAGACCAACGTTCATGAACTTAGGTTAACAACGTATAATAGCTAATCAGCCGGGTATATTATGGGGGCTTGTAATAAGAGTCGATTAGCCGTGTATACCTGGGGGCTTGAAGTTGGGGGCGTATAATAGCTAATTAGCTGGATAGATTCTGGGGGCTTGAAATAAGAGTCAATTAGCCGTGTCTACCTGGAGGCTTGAAGCCGGGATGTTATCAGTCAGTATGAGACAATAAGTTTTGTATGTGTATATAATTATTATCATATATTTGTTTATGTTGAAAGATCCTGGAGGCTTGAAGCCAGGTTATTATCTGTACATAAGTGAGATGGATTGACGTACTGAGATGGATTGACTTTTCATGACATGTGATTATTATTCTATCTGTGTTTATGTTGAATCGATGCATAATATGAATTTTACCACTGAGCCGAGAGACGGTGCTCACCCCTTTGTTTTTCAGGTTGATCAAGCTGGCGGCGGACACAAGAGGACGGGCGTGGTCGTCTTAAATTATTTATTTATTTTTAAATCCTGTAAACTTTGTTAAATTGTAAATTTAATTTGGATGTATAAATTAATGTTTAATCGTAACATGTTTATTTCGAAATGTTTATATCTTAACAAAAAGATTTGTGTTTGAGTAATGTCCGTTGAGTTCAATTGAAAAATGAATCTTTCTTTTTAAGTATGAATTTTTTTTTCTTAAAAACTAGTATTTCTTCTAAATAAATAAGCGGGCGTTACAAGGACGATACACGTACAACCGTCGGGCCTTCGTGCGGTGGTCCTGGGCGTCGCTGCTGGGAACTGGGATGGCGACTGGCTGGGCGCGATTGCGGGTAGTAACTCGCGGTTGCGATCGGCTGGTCACGGACGGCTTCCAGCATCGATGGGATTTTCTGACGGTTGTCGACGGCGGCGGCGACACGGTGAAGATGATGACCGGAAAATATGGAATTGAAGGCTTAATATATTGTTCCAAAAAGCCTTCTAATGGATTACCTAAACACCTACTTCGATCAAACTTGGTGGAGCGTTTAATCGAATCTCCCTAACTCTTGAACAATGTTATTCTCTCGTGTATGTAGAAGAGAAAAATCGGCCAACATCAACTTGTAGGAGAGGTTGGGACATGGTGTATTTATAGGCTCCATTAGGGACCTTAAGGAGGTGCTAAATATGGGCTTATCCCATTAGGCCTAGGAATCCTAATTCTAATCCAATACTGACGTAATGTAGGAAGGAGATCTCCTACTAATCCATCTCTTCTAGAAGACTCGTTAGTCTCCTAACACTATAGAGGATCCTAGTACTCCAATTAATAATATAATGTAGAAAATATATTCCCTACTAATCTCCATCTTCTAGAAGACTCCCAAGTCTCCTAATCCCAAGAGAAGATTCTAGTAGAAATTTTATTCTCCTAATTAATTAATTAATATGGAATAAAATTAATTCCTATTATGGAATTAAATAATAAAACATCCCACTAGAGTAATATTATTGCTCTCCCCATTTAGCTACTATATTATTACCTCCCTATGTTTACGACATAACGTCCATTGATTAATTAAATTACTGACAAAATAATTAATCAACTTTTTATTCATTTCCGAAATTAGTACCACTCAGACTTTAACCATTGTGTCAGACAATCGTCTACCTGCAAGGTTTAACATAATGTTCCTTCCTAAGCTTATTTTGGGGACGTCATCAGTCCAGCGCACTGGAACATAGTGACCGTAAATAATTTATAATAGCACATCATATAATTATTCTTACTTACCAAAATACCTCGTATGTCATCCTAATAAAATAGGAATCACTTGGTAAATCAAATAAATAAGAAATAAAAATATATGCCTATTTTATATTATCTTACAGCTTAAGAGAACGCATCAATCACTGAAGGTCTAGGTTACAACAACGGTCAGTGAGTCTCATATCCTTATCCTTCCGTGGTCCTGTTCAATACTTAACATAAGTGGTAGTGTAATCCTTCAGTCAAAGACCAACTGAATCAAGAATACACTACAGTCTTTTTCCAAGTGGGGTCTCACTGCCAGTCTAGACTGTGAACGAATAGTTTAGTCTTATAAGGAACCGATAGGTGATCTTTCTGTTCGAAACTCTTCGAACCACACTACCTCAATATAAGACATGGAGTATGTATTGCATAAATAGATAAACTGCAAACATATGTACTTTGACAGAAACATGATGGCCAGATCAAAATGGAATTGATAGAATCTGCAAAGCATCGCTTTTACAACATACCTCTATCCTCATGCCACTTGCAGTTTAGGTACTTGATCTTGGAGCAGGCACTAACCTCATGCCACTTGCAGTTTATCACCGCCTCGGGTTTGGAGGCTTGAAGCCCACCAGGATGCGCCTTCAGTTAGCAGATCGCTCGTTCCGTCAACCAGCAAAGATTGTGGAGGACGTACTCATCCAAGTGGGGAAGCTGATAGTCCCCGTGGACTTCGTTGTGCTCGACATGGAGAACTTGCATGAAAATGGGAAGCAGCACACCACTCTCCTTGGCCGACCCTTCATGGCTACCACGAGCACTGTTATAGACGTGAGGAAGGGGACAGACAGCATGACAGTATTGAGAGAGTCCATCGCCTTTTTTGTTCGAGAAACCCAGCCTGAGCCGCAGGCGAATGTGATGGAGGAGTGTGCATACATTCGGGCAATAGAGCAGCTGACTGAGGAAGCATGCGTGCAAGAGCATGCTAAGAGGTCATTGCAGGACCGAGCTGTCAATGATAGAGGATGCCGTACTGACCGCCAGCTGAGTTCCAGTGAGCTGTACCGATCTGAATGGGGCGAGAGGTTTGACTTAACAAAGGCCCGCCGCTGTTCGGGGCCTGACAACTTTCACCCTTCACCAGCACCATTGGATTCACATTGACTAGTCTAGTCACTATGCCCTGTACGTTTGTATTTTGTCCCTTCTCTTTATTTTCTTTTTGCTTTAGTTTTTCTGTCTTGGTTTTTCTGTTGATTGACTATATGGGTTAACTTTCATTGCATTTAATATCGACAATGGGGATATTGTTCGGTTTTAAGTGTGGGGGAGTTTTTACATGATTATGTGCTTGTATGGTTGATCACGTATAGGTCTTTAGGTTGTTTCCTTTTCTATTTTATTGTCCTTTCTTGAGTCAGTTTGTGTGTTTTTTAGTATAGATTATGGTGAATTTTAAGATTTGTTGATGATTGTTGATTATGTTGAGGAGATGTGATGATGACCATGACCAGTATGCCTTGATGAACTTGATGTTTCGTTTTGCTGGCAATTTATTTACCTTATGTGAGGGTTTGAGCCTTATTTTATTTCTTGAGAGATTTTGGTCGGATTCGTTGTTGATCAGAACTTGCTTTTAGTCTATTTTGAAATGAAGGGATTGAAGTAGTGAATTGTGAAAATGATTGAGGCATTTCTTTGACATTGCTCGTTTAGCCTTTTTATTTGACCCTTGATGTGAAATGTTCATTAGTAGCACATTGAGCTTGAACCGTATTTCTTGTCAACCGTATTGATTGAATTTCATGGGATTTGATAGTTTAGTTATTTTGAAGATGGAGCTTCTGTTTTGTGTTGGAGAAAGGGTATAATTTCTTTGAGTTGCATTTTGGTTACTTGACAAAAAAAAAAGAGGGGAAATTGCAAGACGAACTTAAGGATTCTACTCCAATTACTTGTGGAATTTTCATGAGTAATGAGTATTGGGAAACCACTCTAGGAAACTTGGATGTCCTCCAATGTTTAAACGTAGAGAATGTCGTCCTTTTGTTTCAGTCATGTTAGGAAAAAGCAACTTCCCTAAATAATAATAAAAAAAATGAATAATAAAAAAAATAAAAAAAAAAAATAGACGAGTACCTGAGTTGCAATTCAATTTCAGCATATCTGAGTGTTGCATGAAGTTTTGATGGAAACTGTTGGTTTTATGCTGAATTTGGATAAGTGGTGAGGCATTCGAGTAATTTATATGCTCGAGAGTTGATTGTTTATTTGAGCCATATTATCTTTATTTTCGTTTTTCCCTTGCCCGAAAGTCCTCTTGATTTACAATTCATGATCTTTGATTGATTTAGAGTATGAATAGACGATAGTCAAGTTTATGTGATACATGATGATACACCAATTTGAGCGAACCCATTTCATATTCATGAAAGAAATCGAGTGAGGCATTTATGGATTATATTTCCGTGCTTGAGAGTTTGTCGTTTCAAGATGTTGCATTCAAGTGTAGTTGAGATATGCGTGATTGGTCATTGGAATTCTCCTCGGCTAAGTTGATAAATTT